GGGGGGGGGGGGGATGGGTAATTAATTCAACTTAAAACATTTTAAATACAAATATATGTTATAAAACATGCTGGTAAGATTTTTTTTAATATAAACACGAAATAGTTCAAAAAAGTTCGCTTTTTATAATAAATAATTACAAGAAAATGTCCAACCCTCCCCTCCCCCTTTGAAGGTCCAAGCAACGTGAATCAAATCAATAACATCTGTTCATTTTTGCTCATTCATTAAACATCCTTTTACTAAAGAGTTAAAAACAAAAAAATCAAAGTTATTTCAATCAGTACAATTTAATCTAATGCAAAGTCTTATTCAAACGAATTTTTTTTATGATTTTAAGCCTTAATTGCATTAATTTTTAAGTAAACGTTATAATTTCTAGAATGAATAATAAATTATACAAGTTTAAAACGTTTTATTTTCAAATTGCAAGTTGTTATAAATAGTTTCCTCGGAGCTGAAAGTAATGATTTGCTGGACATCTGTAGAAGAAACGAGTAAAAGGTTTCTTTCTAATCGATGTTAACTATTTTTTATGACTGTAAGTTACACCTGTGAAATGACACTTCACTCTCACTTTTGTCCTTGCTATTTACTATAAAAAAACAATGGCAAAATATGTAAAATTTTAAACATTGTTTTTGTAAAACATTAAGAAGATTTACAATGCTCATTGTTATTCAATAAAGACAAATTTTCGTATGTTTATTGACATTTTGTTTGCTATAAACATGCATTCGCTGCGAGAAACAGTGGAAATAGAATTCATTAAAATTTATATTTTGGTCCAATTTTTTAATCCAAATTTTCACTAAACGTTTTAATTTAGATCTCATAAGGAGTTTGCTTTCCTTACATCAATTCGACAGCATAGAGAAAACTCAGGAACCATCCTGGCCCTTTCATTTGGACCATTCCATTCATTCAGGTAAAGACAGATACATTTGAACTCTGTTTAGCTCTATACAGGCTGGAGGGTGGGTCTGACTATGCATTGACGGGAGGGGGGGTTCCCACGCCCCCCATAGAAAAAGGCCATAGAGAATAGGTATAGGGTTGAAATGCATCTGCATGGCCCAATTTTTCAAGGCCAGCTCATTGAAAAAAATTAGATCGATAGCAGTTTGGGTGCTAGGGAGGGCTGAAAAAATGCCAAAAAAAGTTAAGAAAATGTAAAAAATATTTTTTTGTTTTAAACAAATATCAAAGTGTGACACATGTTTCTACATCCATTTTTCAAGGCTTTTTAAAGAAATAGTTTTTAGATCTGTACTGTAGCTAGGGCAAAAAAAACTAGATGGGAGGCGCCGAACGCCCCCTCCCCCCCAGCCTATTTAGGGTTAAGTGAATACGATATCTACTAAAGACATAATATGTCAAAGTTAAAATAAGGTATTTACACCTAAACTTTTTATTTATGAAGTTTCTGCAATGTTTTGAGTTTAACACAAGTTACAGAAGGCTGCTGTCATTTAGACTGGTGAATCACACAAATCTAATTTAAGTATTTTGTTGTAAGTATTCTGGAAAGGTTTTGTTTAATTTTGGACAAACGGTTTATTATTAAATTCGGTTGAGGGACTTTGCGCCGTACAAGGAACAAAAGTGCAGACTTTTTTTTGCCAACATGAACTGAAATTAGAAGCCCTAAAATGTACATGTCATGGGCTACAAAAAGTGTAAGTAAGTAATTTAAATAGCAAGAAAAAAGGATTTGCGACACTTTGAAAGTTGATGTCCATTCTCCATAGGTGTCAGGTGCTCTTGACTGATATGAACTTAAAATAAAAACATAGGAATGATATTAGAATATTTATCAGAACATATCCAGATTTGCTTAGTCTAGCGTGAACTGCTGCCTGCACAATAAACAACAGGATGGAACTTTATCCTTCAACTTTATCATAAATATTTTTAGACTGCAGCAGCAAATGGGGGGGGGGGGGTTGGAAGCAGCAGGAGGGAGTCAGGGTCATGAGGTTTTATCATGAAACCCAACTTGGACTCTTCCTTTAGACCTCTGTCATTATTAGGGATGGAAACTGGTGTAAACAATATTTAAAACAGTTTTTACCGTGTAATAATTTTTTGCAAGTTAGTTCCAAAAAGTGTCGTTTACGTTTTTTGATGTTTTTCATGATGGTTAATGATGGCTAATGATGGTTAATGATGGTTAATGATATTTAATGATGGTTTATGATGGTTAATGATGGTTAATGACAGTTAATGATGGTTAATGTTGTTTAATTATTGTTAATGATGATTAATGATGGTTAACGATGATTAATGATGGTTAATGGTAGTTAATTAATGTTAATGATGGTTAATGATGGTTAATTATGGTTGAATATGGTTAATGAAGGTTAATGATGATAATTGATGGTAAATGATGGTTAATGTTGTTTAATTATTGTTAATGATGATTAATGATGATTAATGATGATTAATGATGATTAATAATGGTTAATGATTTTTAATAATGGTTAATGATGGTTTATGATAATGAATGATAATTAGTGATGGTTAACGATGGTTAATGATGGATAATGATGGTTAATGATGGTTAATGATAGTTGATGATGGTTGATGATGGTTAATGATGGTTAATGATGGTTAATGATGGTTAATGATGGTTAATGATATTTAATGATGGTCAATGATGGTTGATGATAGTTAATGATGGTTAATGATGGTTAAAAATGGGTAATGAATTTTAGCATTGGTTAATGATGGTATATGATGATGAATGATAGGTAATGATAGTTAATGATGGTTAACGATGGTTAATGATGATTAATGGTGGTAAATGATGGTTTATGATTGTTAATTATGGTTAATTATGGTTAATTATCGTTTAATATGGTTGATAATACCGCTAATAAACAGAAAATACCGTTAATAAACAGATTATACCGCTAGTAAACAGATAATACCGTTAATAAACAGATAATATGGTTAATTATGGTTGAGAATTGATGCCCACAGTTAACGATTACCAATGATTGTTAATAATGTTTAAAGATATTTTTGAACTCTCATTGTACACTGACATTTTTTATTTTTGATTGTTTAATCCAAGGTTTAGGTATTTCTTATCCGCTTATTATAACAGATAATACCGCTAATAAACAGAAAATACCGTTAATAAACAGATTATACCGCTAGTAAACAGATAATACCGTTAATAAACAGATAATACCGTTAATAAACAGAGGATACCGTTAACAAACAGATAATACCGTTAACAAACAGATTATACCGTTAATAAACAGAAAATACCGTTAACAAACAGATAATACCGCTAGTATACAGAAAATACCGTTAATAAACAGATTATACCGTTAGTAAACAGATAATACCGTTAATAAACAGATAATTCCGTTAACAAACAGATAATACCGCTAATAAACAGAAAATACCGTTAATAAACAGATTATACCGTTAGTAAACAGATAATAGCGTTTATAAACAGAAAATACCGTTAACAAACAGATAATACCATTAATAAACATATAATACCGTTAATAAATAGATTATACCGTTAGTAACTAGATAATACCGTTAGTAAACAGAAAATACGATTAATAAACAGATAATACCGTTAATAAACAGAAAATACGATTAATAAACAGATAATACCGCTAAAAACTGATTATACCGTTAGTAAACAGATAATACCGTTAATAAACAGATAATACCGTTAACAAACAGATAATACCGCTAATAAACAGAAAATACCGTTAATAAACAGATTATACCGTTAGTAAACAGATAATAAAGCAGATAGATAAAGCAGAAAGAAAGAAAATAAAAAAGCAGACAATGTACAGATTTTTCCTTGGCCGAGAAAAAAAATTGTAACAACTGTAAATTTTTTTTCTATTTAGATATCTTGAGATACAATCTAGCGGACGAAAAGATGAATTAAGAATTCATTATTGGCCACAGTCTTCAAGTTCTCATTTAGACGTAGAGGTACGTTTTTGAACTATTATAATTTTTTTCATTTAACTTTAATAAAATCTTAATATTTACCATTTTTTTGTAATTCATTTTTTATTTTAAGATTTCATTTTATTTATTTTAAACTCTAATTTCATTATATGTTTGCAACCTGATGGTGATATCCTTTGATGATTAAAACTTTGACTATTTGAGGCAACAAAAATTTAAGTTTAATATATCAAATGTCTGCAACATAAGACATCAGACAGTATAAATTCCGTACAGTCGTCTCTGAGGTCTCATCTTCTGTGGGTGCCCTGTACGTCAAGTTAGAATTTGATGTTTCTATTAAAAAATTACAGCCAAATATTTACTTATCTTTGCTTTTAAGATCTAAATAACCGCTTGTGAACATTTCTTTTTGCAAAAAAAAGATAAAAAATAATGAATATGAATGATCAATTCATATATTAAATATCTTAGCATTGTATACTCTACATTCCTTCACCCTTTTACCTTAAGATTATAATATTCAGAAATACACTACTTCTGAACCATTAATAACAAATATTAAATATTTTCTATTCAAAACTTATTTTATTATATTTATAATTTATTGCTGAAAGGGGTCCTTTAAAAGTCTAATATTGAGGAAAAAATCGTCTTTTTGGTTAACTTTGCTAATCTTTCCTTTATCAGACACAGATTTAGTGGGTTCACTGCCCCTTTAAATGTAAGTCTATATATATATATATATATATAAAGCTAATTTACGACAAAGCGCGGGTAAACGGTGGGACTAATTATGACTACCCTGGGCAACGCTGGGTTCCCAAGGTAGTTATTATATATTTTCCTGTAATTATTCTAATTTATGACGTGTATATTTCTATTGTGTTTATTTTCTGAGAAACGTTATTAACAAGTGCACACTATTGATTTAGTGTTGTATAGATAATACTTACACGTACGTAATACTTTTTAAAACCCACGGTTTCACTTAAACACACTTTAAAAGGCCTTGTTTTAACGATTTCTAACTTTCGAACATTTTTAGTCAAAACAATTCCGTATAAAGGAAAATTGATTGTTACTTTTATTTCGATCTAGTTTTTCTTTACTCAGTTCATTTGGCTATACAAGTGTTTCATATATAGAATTTGTACTGTACAGCTTGCCCCCAGCTACTTAAAAGTCGGCACGGTACTTGAAATGAACCAGGGTTTACAGTGCCATCCTCCAAAAGTCTTTAAAGTGTAAAGAAAATATTTTAAACTAGGCTTTTAGCGCCCATATTATTTTTTAATTATTAACATGTTCTTCATATATACGTTGTTAAACAAATTCAACATAAATTTCGCGGATTTAAAAAAATGTCGTGGTTTTTAAATTTTTCAATAATCGAATTTTTTTGGAGGTAAATTTTTGAAATTTTGATCATCCATAAACCTTTCCTGGGGTCACGCGAGGCCCCACAAAAAATCTGTACCCAATCGGTTCAGCCGTTCACCCAGACTGACTAGCAAAGTGTATATATAGATTGATTTATTTGGCCTACCGTCCCGTATTGTCTTAGTCTGCATTTGTACTGCTCTAGCTAAAAATTAATCAGATTATTCTTGGTTTAACAACAGTTAAATATCCTTTTTGTGTAAATCATGAACAATCCTATTTTGTTTTTAAACTAATTTTAAATATTGCGAAAAGTCTCTTTAAACTGATTAAATCTTAAAGTACAATCTAAACAGAAGGTTTATTTCCTTAAATGCCTAGCGTTGAAAACTTGAATTAAAAAGAATGAATAAAAGAAATAATATACACCACCTTTACAGCACATTAAACTATATATTTCCTTAAATCTTTATATTTCTAACATTCTTTTCAAACTTTTGTATTTCAGTTTTGGTGGGGTGAATACAATCTATAAACTCAATTAACATCTTAAAAATCGCACATAATAATTGTATTGCATCTATATATAAAGTAGTAAATGTTTGTTTGTCAAAACTCATGAACCCCTTGACCGATTGAGGAACTTATGCATCCCTTGACCGATTGAGGAACTCATGAACCCCTTGACCGATTGAGGAACTCATGAACCCCTTGACCGATTGAGGAACTCATGAACCCCTTGACCGATTGAGGAACTCATGAACCCCTAGTGACCGATTGAGGAACTCAGGAGAACCAAGGCAATGTTTGGTTTGAGATTCTAAGTTGAGTGGGTCCACTTTTATATGAAAAAATAGCGAAAATTGCAATCTAAGACCAAGCGCGGGTAAACGGCGGAAGTGACTGCCCTTAGCAATGCTGGGCTCCCAAGCTAGTAAATTTATGAAATGATCAAGCATTTTTCACGCATACAACAAATTTCCGCAATGCATTTTTCCGCATATTTTCGCAAGGCACTTTGACAGAGCAAACGCGTTGACAATTAATTACTCTCCGATAGATGAAACATTCATAATTGTGTTCTCCTCCAGACAGATTAATACAGGGGTTTTATGTTTTAGGTGGAGAGATTTCAGGTTCGGCTCGCCGACGATTCATGGCACAGATTAGGGGTTGTAGTCTCAGGGGACCAAATAGATATTCTCCTAGACTGTCAGAGAATACACTCAAGGTATAGATATTCTCCCAGACTGTCAGAGGATACACTCAAGGTATAGATATTCTCCCAGACTGTCAGAGGATACACTCAAGGTATAGATATTCTCCTAGACTGTCAGAGGATACACTCAAGGTAAAGATATTCTCCCAGACTGTCAGAGGATACACTCAAGGTAAAGATATTCTCCTAGACTGTCAGAGAATACACTCAAGGTATATATATTCTCCTAGACTGTCAGAGGATACACTCAAGGTATAGAAATTCTCCTAGACTGTCAGAGGATACACTCGAGGTAAAGATATTCTCCTAGACTGTCACAGGATACACTCAAGGTATAGATATTCTCCTAGACTGTCAGAGGATACACTCAAGGTAAAGATATTCTCCTAGACTGTCAGAGGATACACTCGAGGTACAGATATTCTCCTAGACTGTCAGAGGATACACTCAAGGTAAAGATATTCTCCTAGACTGTCAGAGGATACACTCGAGGTAAAGATATTCTCCTAGACTGTCACAGGATACACTCAATGTATAGATATTCTCCTAGACTGTCAGAGGATACACTCAAGGTAAAGATATTCTCCTAGACTGTCAGAGGATACACTCAAGGTAAAGATATTCTCCTGGACTGTCAGAGGATACACTCAAGGTATAGATATTCTCCTAGACTGTCAGAGGACACACTCAAGGTAAAGATATTCTCCTAGACTGTCAAAGGATACACTCAAGGTAAATATTTTCCTAGACTGTCAGAGGATACACTCCAGGTAAAAATATTCTCCTAGACTGTCAGAGGATACACTCAAGGTATAAATATTCTCCTAGACTAAGTTTGTTTAGATTTTTTCATACATTTCTGTTCTATTTAGCAGTACACTTTAAAATTTTCAAATTAAAAGAGGCATGTTTAATCTTCTCAAGTATGCCATAAAAAAAACTATCAAAAAAAATGGTTGGTTCCAGGAGCTTGTGGCAGCCAAGGTTATAATGCAAGGCAAGTTATAGTTGCAGTTGTGTATACTCTGCGTACATATTGAAACCAGTTCTCTTTGGGCGGAATTTGTAAACAAGAATAGATGCATCAGTTTTCGTTTAGTATCCGAGAAGGTTAAAAGCATTAAATTTTGATAATTTTGATAATTCACATAATAGTTTCCTATGACCAGAATATTTCATTGATTATTTATGTGAAAGATGGATCCCATTTCAGGCTTCGACGTCCGTCTTGTGTTTACATTACCGCCCAGTGAAAGTACATTGTAGTACAAAAGATGCGTACACTTCTGAAATAACTTTCCTTGCATTAAATCCTTGGTGGCAGCCATCGAGAAAAGAGCATTATCTTGTTTTTTTCATTGTTTTTAAATAATTTCTTCTTTACTTTATGGAATTATTTTTGTACAGGGTGCTTCGTCATACACTGGATAAATCCTTCCACCCTTCCAGTGAGAACCTAACTTTATGGATAGGACAGAGAAATCAAAATCAATTCTTGTTCAAGGTAAATTTTAAATATTTATGAAAATATAACAGTATTTCATTTTTTTGTTGTAATTCTGGGACAGTAAGCGTAATATCAAAGCAATGCCCGATTTACAACGTTACTTCCCTCTTCCCCCCTTTCCCTTCAGAAAAATTAATAGTAATTTTTTTATTTTGTTTTTGTTTCTTATTCTTTCTTTTTTCTACTATTCTTCTATATACCATCTCCTTCTCCATTATCTTTCCCTACTTTTCTGTTTTTCCATATTCTTCTTTATACCATCTCCTTCTCCATTATCTTTCCCTATTTTTCTGTTCTTCCATATTCTTCGTTATACCATCTCCTTCTCCATTATCTTTCCCTACTTTTCTCTTATCCCATATTCTCTTTTTCTCATTTCCCATATTCTCCTTTATACCACCTCCTGCTATTTTCTTCTTCCCTACTTTACTCTTATCCTACATTCTTCTTTATACCATCTCCTAGCAATTCTGATCAATACTATCGAAATATTCATAACGTTTAAACAGGGAATCACGTTTTCAGATATATTTCGTGGATTTTTTCTGTATTTTCAGGCGATGTTGAGATGTGTAATAAGAATTTTTGTTTTTCAAGGTTTTTCAACTTTTAAAAAGTTCCACGAAAACCCAGAGAAGGTTTACAAATTTCAAATTAGTGTAATATACAAGCTTTTCTTACACAATGTAAAATTTTGACATTGAATGAAAATTTATTTAAAAATCGGACCAAAAACGACCGTTTGTTGGTTCTTTTAGGATAAAAATATTGAACAGTTTAATAAAATCAAACTTTAGCAAAAGATAGTTTTAAATGTTGATAATTTTATTTTAAGTTTTTAAAAAACGGACAAATTCCGATTGACATGATAGTCTAATAAAATACACAAGGTGTCACCCCAAAAAAATCATATCTTTAAAAAAAGTCATCTTTTTTGTTTTCAGGGTTATCTGCAAGGAACAAGGATAGTTGGAGGAGAGTATGGATATCTTGAACAATGTCCATCTCTACAACATTCCTGTCCAACCTGTGGACAATTCAAGGAATGCTATATACTTTATGCCATAGATTAATTAACAATGATAGATAGAACACTAGATGTCATATTTTTAAGATTTTAGGGTTTTTTGTTCACAATAGAGGTAGAGGCCCAAATGAATTACGCGAGTGGTCTCTCTCTCTCTGTCTTGTAATTTAACGCCGCATGCGTGTAACTCCTTTGTGCTGCTGCTTTAGGGTTATTGTAAACGAAAAATCCGTAAATTTTGAAAAGACGAAATATAGTGTCCTATCTGTTTTTATTAATTAATCTATGCTTCATACACAATCGTAATAATCCACTAATTTGCCCATTATTACTGCAAATGAGGTTAGTTATGATAATCATTTGTCTCATGGTGTCTTGAAATTACGCTCGAAGTTCATTTTTAAAATACATTTTTCTGATATTTAAAGTATATAGTTTGGTGTCTAGGCTTTAGAAGACACTGTGAGTACACTTCTACGCACTGTGCAAGATCTCACAAAAAGGCAGGCCGGGGCATTTTTTATCATCAACAGATTTTTTATCATCAACAGATTTTTTTTACATTTTATTCATTTTGTTCGCGATTTTTCTTATAAAGTTTAAAACATAATTTTACATAACGAATTGGACTTAAAAAGTGTCAATAAATATTATCAACAGATTAACTGCCCTCCTCACGCACCACACCGGTGTACATTTGAATATCCGAGCTGGGCCAACCTTTGCGGTCTTAGTTTGGATTGTACTGTACTGTTACAATTACAGTGGATTAACATTGGCAGTGGATTAACTGGGATAGAATAAGTTAAAAACTTTTGAATTGATTTGAATCCGTTCAATAGTTTCCATCTTAGAAATGTTTAAATATTAACATTGTAGATTTTAGCATAATCTTAATTCTGGTGAAGCTAAAATTATTTAATATTTTCTCGGACACGGTTTTATGTTCCTATGAATACAATACATACATTTTATTTCAGAACAGAAAGGGGAGAGGGGGGGGGGTTAAAGTGAGGGTTAGGAGTAGCAACATTTTGTAATCGTAGCTTTTTTAAAAAACATAAGTTTTAGCTGATATTTTTTTCTTTTTCTAAACTTATTATCCATTAGATCGATCTTAGAATAGAAAATTAAAGTTAGAAATACAATTCCTTTTAATGACCTGTAATTTCCCTCTTGGCAAATTAAATTAATTATTTAGCTTGAACTTACATTTGTTAGTACCCTGATTTTAAATAGGAAAACCCTTAAAAAAAAAACATTCCTATTTTGGCACTTTAAAGAAATAGTTCCTATTTATATTTGAGAGGTGATTAGTAGTTTAAACCCCTTTTTTCCATAAATTTTTAACATAATTAAATCAATACTGAAGTGCAGTTGATGCTGATTAAAAGCAAATAGCTTTAATAGAAATCACTTTTCATTGCACGGTTTAAAGTCATAACTTGAGTTTAAAAGTACACTGCTTATTCCAGAGTTTTCTGGTTATCAATTGTATGCGTAAGGCTGAAACGGTCTGGGTGGGAGGTGTGGACCCCTAAAAAAATATCTTTAAAAAGCTGAAATTTTATCATCTCTCCTTTTTTGTGCCGAGCTTTTTTCCATGAAAGAAAAGGCCCATTTTTTATACAAAAATAATAAATGTCCCCTTTGCGCCACAGATTACAGGAGGCTGATGGGAGAATATCTAAACTAGAGGTAGGTGATTAATAAATAAAAAATTGAACAATAAATTAATTAATTTATTAATTAGTTAATTTTAATTAACCATTGCATGATTAATCAATGTTAAATCAGTTTTATTTATGATGTGTACATCTACGTACGTAGAGTAGGTGGGTTTACTTGACTAATTGCAAACCATATTTGGCTTGCCAGTTTTTTTCTGTCTGCTGTGTGTTTGTATCTAATAAACGTCATTACGGCTGAACCGAACAGGCCCTATTTTTTATCGATTACATTTTTTGTCATATTAAAATGCATTTACATCGTTAAAAATGTTTAAATTTGTTTTTGAAAAGGTGAATCCAACAAAAGTCTAAAATTTAAAATCTAAAAGCACATTGATTTTTAGTAGAGATAGCTAGATAGATAAAAGCATACTGATTTTTAGTAGAGATAGATAGATAATAGCATACTGATTTTTAGTCGAGATAGATAGATAGATAAAAGCATACTGATTTTTAGTAGAGATAGATAGATAGATAAAAGAATACTGATTTTTAGTAGAGATAGATAGATAAAGGCATACTGATTTTTAGTAGAGATAGATAGATAGATAAAAACATATTAAGAAAATATTTTTAAAAATCTATTCAAAGAACCTTTGAAAAGTTACAGCTCTGGTAATAAACTGTATAAATATAGACTAAACTGAATTTTGCATCAATAGAATCAAATCTTTAAAAAATAATTATACTAAACATAATGGTTCAAGCCTCATGACGATCCTCAGTAGTCAAAATACTTTGAACAATGTATATATATGTGTTCCAAGAAGTGTATACTAGAGAATGGAACAGTTTTAATCATATAAATATAGGAGTGTAAGTGTTCCAAGGAGTGTATACTAGAGAATGGAACAGTTTTAATCATATATATATATATATATAGGAGTGTAAGTGTTCCAAGGAGTGTATACTAGAGAATGGAACAGTGTTAATCATATAAATATAGGAGTGTAAGTGTTCCAAGGAGTGTATACTAGAGAATGGAACAGTATTCAATGATAAAGATTCCTGGTTAGATGGCTGTGAAACTTGTGTATGCAATGTAAGTATTAAAAAAAAAATGTTATTTTTATTTATAAAAGTTTTCTTAAAACAATAATACTTTTTTGTTAACCAATAATTCTAAAAAAGTAAAAAACTGAAACCCTAACATTTAATTTTTAATTTAGAGAAGAAATTATGAACAACTGAACACTAAATTTATAAAAAGATTTTTTTGTCGCAAGTGCATTTACTGGTTTAAAATGATGTTGTACTGTGTTTAGAATGGTATAGTAGAGTGTACTGCAACTAGTTGTCCTGTACTGGATTGTGCAGTACATATTCCTCCTACAACTGGTCAATGTTGTCCTTCATGTCCAGGTATTCATTTGGGAATTCAGCGATTTCGAAAAAAAGTAAATTACAGAAATGCAAAAAAAATGATGGGGCCCCTTTTAGAAGCACGGATATAATTGCTTCTCATTAAAAATTAGAATTTGATTTTAAAGGGACTATAAGCGTAATTGTAAGTGACCTCCATACGTTAAAAAAAAGTAAATTGCACCTAAAATTAAAATCTTTTATTTTTTCAATCATAACTCGTAAAATTAAAGGATTATTGAGAATAAAAAAAGTGTTTTTAATTTTTAATATGTAATAAATTTGCTTATCTTATACTTGTGCATAATATCAAAACTAGAGGAGCTAGTAGGTTACAAAGTTGTACCAGTAATGTCTCATTTTGTTTCCAGGGTCCAGGCAAAGATGGCATTGCCCGATTCCAACGGTACCTTTCTTCATGATCAAGTTTGAATTAGATTAACGTTTTTAATTTTGAAATCATATTTTCAATTGTGGTTTCTCTACAAAAAGTGATTTGTTCATATCTACTGCAGAAATACAAAAATATCAGAATTAAACACTTTTAACCCTAGAAAAATGAAAATATCTTCCACATCATTGATCAGATAAAGGTTTCAAGGGTACCGCTGTGAATAGGGCATTGCAATCTCTGCCTGGAGGGTCACTTGAAATTACTCTTACAGTCCAACTATTGCATAATTTTTTTTAGATTTTAAATTTTTTCGAACTTTGTAATTTTTATATCAACATTTTTCGTATTTCAGCCCCTTGTCCTGGGCTGAACCTGACCCATGGTGAAGTATCCCGACCTAAACCCTGTAAACATTGTAAATGTGAGAACGGAGTTGGAGTTTGTAATTTACAGAAGGAATGTCCGGTCCTGGACTGTGAACCCTCAATGTACCTTCAAGAGGACGGAGAATGTTGTCCTGTTTGTAAAGGTATGACGGAGAATATTGTCCTGTTTGTAAAGGTAGGACAGAGAATGTTGTCCTGTTTGTAAAGGTAGGATGGAGAATGTTGTCCTGATTGTAAAGGTAGTACAGAGAAGGTTGTCCTGTTTGTAAAGGTATGAGGGAGAATATTGTCCTGTCTGTAAAGGAAGGACGGAGAATATTGTCCTGTTTGTAAAGGTAGGACAGAGAATCTTGTCCTGTTTGTAAAGGTAGGATGGAGAATGTTGTCCTGTTTGTAAAGGTAGGACAGAGAAGGTTGTCCTGTTTGTAAAGGTATGAGGGAGAATATTGTTCTGTCTGTAAAGGAAGGACGGAGAATATTGTCCTGTTTGTAAAGGTAGGACAGAGAAGGTTGTCCTGTTTGTAAAGGTAGGACGGAGAATATTGTCCTGTTTGTAAAGGTAGGACGGAGAATGTTGTCCTGTTTGTAAAGGTAGGACGGAGAATATTGTCCTGTTTGTAAAGGTAGGACGGAGAATTTTGGAGAAGGTTGTCCTGTTTGTAAAGGTATGAGTAGGACGGAGAATGTTGTCTCTCTCTGTAAAAGTAGAACACTTTTGCAATATTTGTTAAAGTAAGACAAGGAATTTTGTCCTGTTTGTAAAAATAGCACAGATAATGTTGTCCTTAAAGTAGGATAGGCACTGCAAGTAATCCTGTCTTGTTTGTAAAGCTTAAATGCTAATATCCTTGTTTTAAAAAAACACATTCTAGAAAACATAACAAAAAGGCCTAAGAACTAGACACATGGCCAAAAGGGACATGAATATCGCTTTAGGACACAAAAGAGCTTGTTTAAAGTATTCTTTTTATCATGAAGTTTGACCTTAGTTCTTGCTTAAAATTCACAAATTGTAAACATTGTCAAGTAAGTTTTTTAATTAAGAGAACTTCCCATGTTCCTCGGGAAAACTTCCTGCTTTTTCAATTGAACTAAAGAGACTTTGAAAAAATTAAAATAATTAAATATTTTTAAAAACTTTTTTTCAATGAAAAATATATATGAAAAAGATATTGTGTATATCTTTGTGTCACAATTGATGTCAGTATAAACAAATATATTTACCTGTCCGCCCAAACCGTTTAAGTCTGTGAGTCAGTTACTTAAAACATAATTTCGGATTTTCAAAACCGAGTTTAGTAAATTTCAATTTAGAAATCAAGATTATATGCGTCGATGTCAGCTAACTTTTGTTAGCAATTTATAATTTTTGAATTTTTAATCTTATAATTTGGATACAGTTGATACAGACAAGTGATGTAAGCTGATATTTTAGAAAAAAATTCCTACATTAAGGTTTATTAAGGTTAAAAAAGAATTCCACGAAACTGGGTTTAATTCATGCCAAAAGTTATGGCTCTTAAGTTTCTCCCTTCCTTTAAACCCCATTTGTTAAATCAATTTGTAGTAGACACAAAATATTCGAAAATAATGGGAATTTCCCTGTTTTCTTTATTTGAAAATATAGACAGATATCTTTCAACCCTTATTTTCATTCTTTCAAACACGAATATTTAAAGAATGAAATACCTTGAACGGGAAGCTAGGTTTTTTTTCTTTAAAAAATATTAGGTTAGTACATAAAAACACAGAAAAACAGTGCATAGCTGTATTTATTGCAGAAAATTTGACTTTTTAAAATTGTCTTTACCTTTAAACCTCCGACCCTCATTTTAGGAAAAATAATGACTAACAATTTTTCATTTTTTTTAAATTATAAAAATTACAAAGGTTTCCTTATTTCGATGAATTTGTATCTTATAGGATGATTCAAATCATGACCGGATAATCGATATTTATGAAATAATTATCCTCATATACTTTTCTATATATTTAGACTTTAATTTTAAAATTGAAAATCAAAAAGCTTAAATATTTTGTTTTATTTTAGACACAGACTGGTGTAAAACTGGATCTGAAGACTGTGATGTGAATGCAGTCTGCGTTTCAGGACAGTTTAGGCACTCATGTCATTGCTCATTAGGATTTAAGGTAATTTAGGCACTCATGTTATTGCTAATTAGAATTTTTAGATAATTTAAGCAATCATTTTATTGCTCATTAGGATTTAAAGTAATTTAGGCACTCATATCATTGCTCATTAGGCTTTAATGTAATTAGGCACTCATGTCATAGCTCATTGGGATTTAAGGTAATTTAGGCACTCATGTCATTTCTCATTAGGATTTAAGGTAATTTAGGCACTCATGTCATTGCTTAGGCAATCATGTCAATTGCTCATTAGGATTTATTGTAATTTAGGTACTAATGTCATTGCTCATTGGGATTTAAGGTAATTTAGGCACTCATATTATTGCTCATTAGAGTTTAAGGTAATTTAGGCAATCATGTCATTGCTCATTGGGATTTAAGGTAATTTAGGCACTCATATTATTGCTCATTAGAGTTTAAGGTAATTTAGGCAATCATGTCATTGCTCATTGGGATTTAAGGTAATTTAGGCACTCATATTATTGCTCATTAGAGTTTAAGGTAATTTAGGCAATCATGTCATTGCTCATTGGGATTTAAGGTAATTTAGGCACTCATATTATTGCTCATTAGAGTTTAAGGTAATTTAGGCAATCATGTCATTGCTCATTGGGATTTAAGGTAATTTAGGCACTCATATTATTGCTCATTAGAGTTTAAGGTAATTTAGGCAATCATGTCATTGCTCATTGGGATTTAAGGTAATTTAAGCAATCATGACATGGCGAATTAGATTTTAAGGTAATTTAGGCAATCATGTCATTGCTCATTGGGATTTAATGTAATTTAGGCAATCATGACATGGCGAATTAGAGTTTACGGTAATTTAGGCACTTTTGTCATTGCTCATTAGGATTTAAGGTAATTAGACACTTGTGTCATTTCTAATTAGAGTTTAAGGTAATTTAGGCACTTGTGTCATTGCTCATTAGGATTTAAGGTAATTTAAGCACTCATGCCATTGCTAGAGTTTAAGGTAATTTAAGCACTCATGTTATTGCTCATTACAGTTTATAGTTAAGTTCTTATTCTTTATTGCTCATTAAAGTTTATGGATATTTTTACTTACTCTATATTTAGTACATTTGGTTTTTGGATAATTTACACATTGAATATCAGGATTAAAAGTTATTTTGAGTCTACACTCACATTACTTTTATCATAGAACTATTCTAGATTTTAATTACTTAAATAATTTATTCCCCCCCCCCCCATTTCTCTCCAAAAGTGTTTATGTAAAACATAATATATTCTGTTTAATATTAGAAATGGCATGTTTTTATTGTATTCCATATAACAGGGATATTAATTATATTGACAGCCATATGTTTTAAATGCTGACAGCTATACAAGATATAGAAATCAATTATCCTGTTTATAGTGCTAGAGCCATGGAAAACATTATTTACAAACAAAAAGTAAACAAATTAAAATGAATGTGAGTCATGCTGAAATTATGCATCTTTATTATGCATGCATGAGCTTGGTCCAACAAGGTCAAAACATAAAAAATGAACTGCTCATGGCACTAATTTGAGAGAATTGAGGGGAAATCTTAAAAAACATGAAATTATGCTAGAAGATGTAAAAAATACAATTAGATAGATTTTATCAAGGTTATAATGCAAGGAAAGTTAATTGCAGTTGCGTATACTCTGCGTACATATTGAAACCAGTTCTCTCTGGGCGGAATTTGTAAACAAGAATAGATGCATCACTGTTCGTTTAGTATCCGAGGAGGTTAAAAGCATTAAATTTTTAAAATTTTGATAATTCACATAATAGTTTCCTATGACCAGAATATTTCATTGATTTTCTATGTGAAGGATGGATTCCATGTCAGGCTGTGACATCCGCCCAGAGAGAGTACACTGCAGTACAAAAGATGCGTACACCTCTGAAATAACTTTCCAATTGCATTATAACCTTGGATTAACAGTAATAGTATTTTTAGAAGAAAAATTTTAACTTTTCCATTCAAACAAAACCCAAAGTCATGATGTAATAAACAGCTTTGGAGCTCAGGAATTCGCTGTGATGAATTAAAGTAATTACAGTTCCATGGGAATATTGCTTTTAACTTGAAATAAACAGCTGTGGAGCCCAGGAATTTGCTGTGATAAATAAAAGTAATTACAGTTCCATGGGAATATTGCTTTTAACTTGAAAGCTTGCATATTAGATGCATTTTCGACATTAAACATAGAAGACCTTCATACAAGGTTTACATAAAATTTTCCATAGAGTTTATAAGTTTTATCAATAAAAGGACTGTTCATGATTTTCGATAAACTATAATTTAGTTTAAATGGGAAAGTGATTTTTCTATATTTTTGGACAATTTTTTTGCTCCAATTCTTAAAAATTCAGCAACTATTTTCTTGGAAAACTGTAACCACGTCTAAAAGTAATTGTGATATCGAAATTTACAATCTATATATAAATTTGGCTTGTCTGTCTGTTTGTTTGTCTGTTTGTTGATATCCAATAAACGTCAAAACGGCTGAACCGATCGGGCCCAAATTTTTTGTGGGACCTCACGTGACCACAGGGAAGGTTCATAAATGATCAAAATTCGATCTTCATTAAATTTTTGAAAATTTTAAAAATCCACGAAATTTTTTGTGAAAATCCGCGAATTATTTTTGTTTTATTTTACGATGTACACAAAGAGAACATGTTCACAATTAATTTAGAAGATGGGCGCGAAGCGCCCTCTAAGGCTAGTTTTTTATATTGCAAATTTAATAGAGTTAAAAATCAAATAACTAGCTGACTTGCTAAATTATTCAAACATTGCAGCTAACGATTTAGACATTTTTGAATGAAGGAAGTGAGTCAAATAAACTTAAAATAAAAAAAGATTTTGAACCGAGGTATCTAAACTCCTAATCTTCCTGAAACTTGTCTATCAATGGTTCAATTTTGGCAATTAGAATAAGATTTTTTTTCGATTTGACCAATAAAAGATAAGTTAATAAGGTTTAGAGCTTGTGACATCATATAATAGTTGTCAGCAGTGAGAAAAAATCAAATCCTGCATATTTCAATATCTAGTTTCCATAGTTCAGATTTGCATTTTCATTTTGATTACACAGCTTTCAGAGGATAATTTTTATAAAGTTAATAAATCCTAAATCATGTATATTGATATTAAGATTTTAAAAATTTGAAGAAAAAAATAGATCTAACAATAAATTAAAAAATAACATTATTTCCAAAAACATCACTTTTTTGGTGAACAGTAAAAACAATCCTTCACAAGCATTTCAGTTTTGTAACTTTTCAACACAATGAAATGTGAAATCATTTCTGGATTATAACCAGTCATCTGAGTCGGAGCACAATTAGAATGTTGAAAATAACAATCCACCTTTAATTTTAAAGTTATATATTATTGTTTTATTAGGGAAATGGAACTCATTGCGAAGATGAAGATGAATGTATGAAATCAACTCACAATTGTAATTTTAAAAACGCTCAGTGTATAAACTCTGTTGGGAGCTTCAAATGTGACTGTGAAAAAGGTTACCAGTTAGACAGTGTAAACAGCTGTTCCCCGGTGAACATGTGTGAAAAACCGGTTTGTCCAGAATCAGCTGACTGTGCCTACACAGGTCCAGGAGAGTACACGTGTAATTGCAGAACTGGTTACTTCCAAAATGGCGGGGACTGCCTTCGTAAGTATTCCTTATTTTGTTTAAACTCGGGAAATAAAGTGAAACACATTTAATATCCTTCTTTTGTAAAAGGTTTATTGCATCATTACGTCCGACATTATTTTCTCTATTCTATAAATTCCTTTTTATATTCCCCTTTCACTACATTTAAGGCCATGGGGGAAGAACTAATATAAAAATATAAGTTTAAGGAAAATAATTAATCTTTTCCCAGTGCCTTGTATTCATTAGAGGTGTGCGCCTCCGAATGGGAACATTTGAATTTTTCTTCTTATTTTTTAATCTTCAATATGTTTTCGTTGTTTGTCTTTAGATATGAGTTACATTAAATATTTTGGTCATGGAGTTCTCTGATTTATTGTTAGAATTAGAACTATAAAAAAGAAAAAAAAACTGTTTATAAAATATTCAAATTATGGTAAAGGAAAAATACCACAACTTGAGTTAACCACTAGTCTACCATTATACCCTCATTATTTCTAGAATACATTATCATGAAATCTTTCTTTAAACTTAATCAGAATACAAAAATATCAAGATTTAATAATGTTTTATAAGAAGAAAAAAATATTTTTGAATAATTTATCACCCTATTTAAAATAAAAATAAAAATTCATAAAAACATTATTTTTTTTCGTTAACTTTTACATGTATTGACAAAAAAAAATCTTTTCTAAAATTGTGTGCATCCATAAAAAATGCTAAAGAAAAGTTTATCAAAAGTTAGGATTTATTGGATAGTTGGTTAAGCAAAGAAAGGTCAAGGAAATTACACTCAATTACACGATTAAAATAAGAACAACCAGAGGCCAGAACTTTGGTATTGGGAATCTTGGGATCAAGCATTGATCTCTTCCTCATACCTACGCTACGGAATAATTTAATTTCTTTTCTGATACCAATGGGGATAGATTAAGTCAAGATTTACAATTTACACAAAATCTAACCTATTAAGTATTTAAAGTATGAGTCCAAAAAAGATGCTTCGGTTCAAATTTCAATTAAATGTAAATATAAGTCTTTTACCAAATTTTACTACTTTTTAGCTTTTACTAAAATACTTTTTTCTTTCAGCTGTTTGTGATATTGGGTGTGATAATGGTGGGCATTGTGTTGGTCCAAACCAATGTGAATGCCCATCTGGATTCCAGGGATCACATTGCCAACTGGATGTTAATGAATGTGACCTGGAGCCGTGTGGTTCTGAGTCCACATGTGTGAATATGCCTGGCTGGTACTATTGTGACTGCAGGGACGGATACCGGTCTTATCACAATCCTTTGGACGGATCACATTCATGTGTGGATGAAAATGAGTGTGAATCAGACCATACTTGCCATCCAGACACTCAGTGCAGGAACACACTGGGCGGATACACATGTATGTGCCAGCCTGGAGCACCATGTACTGGTACATGCGTCCTTGACGGTACACACATACAAGACGGGGCCAGCTGGCAGGAGGGATGCAGTATGTGTATTTGTGTACAGGGCAAGGTGTCCTGTACCCAGGTAGAATGTGATTGTAGTGAAAGTGTAGATTCAAGATGTTGCCCTAGATGCCAGAACCAGCAGTCATGTTCACATCAGGTGAGCTTTACATAAATAAAATAAAATTTTAAACGGATTTTAAAAAAAAGGGTATCTTTAAATAAGGGATTAAGAATTGATCCTCAAATTTAAAAGTGTCCACATCGGATATCGAGAAGAAGTGTTCAAGATTAACAATATTCACACAAAAGTTCCAATCTCTGTGAAATTAATTGAATTTAGTATTTTTTCGATTTTTTCCTTTTTCTGTCTCACCCTGTATTTTGGATTTATGTCTGTAGTAATGTAGAGAGTTGAGATATTATAATTTAATTACAGTTTGATGCAATCCCACCATTAGTAATTAACGAATTATTCTAGAACATGAAACCTATGTAAGCTTAATGGAACATTCATGTTTATCCTTCCAACTCTTATTTGAATACATAGAAATCTACAACGGTACTCAATTAACACCTTCACCTGATCAATAATGTGAAAGATATCTAAGTATTTCTGGCTTTAAAAATGTTTAAATTTTAACATTTCACTTCCCTTGCTTCTGGATTATAATAGTACTTAAAGCCACTTTTATAGAGAAACCACAATTGTATATAATCAATTTTCAGACAGAGAAACATGATTACAGAGTACTGTTCTATAAAATGCCAATATTTCAGGAAATTCCTGGTGAACTTTATGCTTCCGGAGATAGATGGATTCATCAGTGCCTCGAGTGTGAATGTTTAAACGGTGAGGTTGATTGTTGGCCTTTAACCTGTCCTTCAACATGTCCTCGGTCCTCCTCAACTCCTCAACCATCATCCTCCACCCTTCAACCGCCCTGTTGTTCTCAAATCCATCTCCCAGGATGTGATTCACGGAGCGCTGTGAATTCTACAGATCTATGCTGGGGATGTACACGTCAGGTAGGAATATATCAAGTATTTTTGTCAAGACTGAGAATGATTCTACATGAACTGTTGACATGCATTTCATTTAAAGAGATACCTGTCCAGCTCACTAGTCCTTATCCTTTAAAACCCCTTTTTCACAGAAAAAATCTTGGAATGTATTTTTTAAATCTAAAACTGATAATTTTCAGTTGCGGGGTTGTAAAATTGACGAGGGGTCTGCGGTTTTATGCGATACGTGCACGATGAAGCAAATTGACAGAATTGATCTCTTTATCTGTGTAATTGAATATAACTGACTGATTTGGGTATTTAAGTCAATCAATTAAAATTACGAAAACAACCCCTTTTAAACTACATACTTTCTCTATACAGAATAACAGATAAGACAACTTAATTGAGAATTGTATGCAATAATTCGACAATTATTTAAAATGGCCAGTTTAGTTAGTTTAGCAGAAACAAAATAAGAAAGCGGAACAAGGGTTCTTTTTAAACGAACAAAGTACATGTTGATATGATGGATATGATGTAGTTTTTACATGCATTCTTAAATTCTTAATTTAGTGTCCATGAACCTCATTATAAAATATTGAGTTGGGATTTTGATCAGATTATTAACATCGTTCTGTCAATATATTTGGTTTCAACATTTACGTTTTTGTATTCTCAAATTCATAGATAGGGATTTTTATAGAATATAAACTTGATAGATAGGGATGTTCAGATTTAATGGTAAAATTATTGAAGCTAATTATACTAAATGTTTGATCAGCATTTGTACAGTGAAACCCGTGAAACTATGGACCAGGAAGACGACATTTCATCAATTTTTGGTGTATTTGATGTTGTCAGAAAGTCGTCTTCCTATTCTACAGTTTAATGGGTCTCAGTAATAAAATAGGTTTTAGTTTCAATATTTTAATATTTTGTTGGAAAGGGATGTCCAGTGCATTGTAAATATATATCGGGTTGTTCGTCTTTAATGTTGAATATAACCATTTTAAACACACTAATAAGCAAAGTTAGTAAATATATTTTAATAGTGCGATTTTAAAACAATTAACAAAACAGTCCCTTTAAACTTTAAAAAATTGTGTTTTTTTTCTATTTCTAATCATATCAATGCCTAAATAAGTAAATAGTTAATTGTTTTTAATCAATATTTTCGAAGTAAACAATTATTACTTAAAATTAAGTCAACAAGATATTTTCTTCACACAATTTTCAAGATTTTATTAGGCATGTTTCAAAGGGAGGCGGTGAATGTCGTCTTTTATTATTTTTCTGTAAGTTGTGTTAGAACACATTCATACTAATGTGATTGGTTCTGTCCTTATTGTAAAGTTGTAATTGCTAATAACTGCATGTTTACATATTTCTAGGCCAGGGACATCAATACCGGAAACGAGATCGGAAAACTGGTTTTAAGACCGGATACTGATCCAAACTTCCGGTTGAAATTTGCTTATAAATCTGGTGGCGGAACTGCAAATAGTAATCGGTAAATTGTACAGGATTGTTGCTTTCTATGTACAGTATGTACACTAATTATGTACAGTATGTACACTAATTATGTACAGTATATACACTAATTATGTACAGTATTTACACTAATTATGTACAGTAAGAGGGGTCGATTTTGGACATTCCACTTGTTTCACCAAGAATAGCAGAAATAATTGAATATTAAACGTCTCTATGTCAATACTGCACATGAAGACGAAATCTGTTTGTCTGACGGTTAATTTTGATTAATTCACTAAAAGCAAGTGATTTTATTTTCTCTCAAAATTTGAAGAATATAGCTTTAGAATAGATACATAAAGATTGGTCTGGAAAAAAATAAATTAAAATAATTGTAATCGTAAAAATCTTGAAAAAACGAAAATCAAAAAAGAGAACGGTGGGGACATTTTGTGGGGACATTTTGTTTACTAGTGGTTTAACAAATATTTTTATCCGAAAAATTCAAATTCGTCATGTGCTATAATTGATTTTGAAGAAAACATTCCCCCCCCCTTGGTTGTTCACATTTTTATGTTTTCAAATATTCTTTAAAAGTCTCTCTTATTATTTACAAGTTTTTTGTTTTTATGAACTAACAGTGCATGTTTTTTGCAAGTTTGCATGTTTTCTGTATTTTTACCCGTCCACTGTACATGGTGTACAGTGTACATACACTGTACACTGTACGTACATTCAATTTTGTATTTGTACCTAACAATTAACTTTTCTTTACAATTTTGCATCCAAGGAGTGATCCCTGTTAGACTTAATTATACCAATAAGAATTAAGCATCGTTTATAGACTAAAAGATGCCTCAAAAAAACTTTTTAGATTTTGCCTTGAAATGAAAAGGTTTCAAATTGTCAGAAAATTAAAAGAAAAACTTAATTCAATTCTTTTCATTGGAAAATTATTAGAAATGAATCTCCTCTGTTTTTAAAAAGAGATTTTAAAGGGAGAGTTCGTAAACAAATGAAAGTGGGTATAGGCTTACGGGAAAAATAATCGCTTTTGATCGCTACTAATCTTACTTCTATCTGTTGCGTTTATAAGGAGAAAATAGTTAAAAACAACTTATACTGAAGAACGTAGCGTCCATACAAATTCAGAAAGTTGCAATATACTACTTGTATCGTAGGTGTTTTCCCGCTAGGTGTCACTGCCACATGTAATCATGGTAATTTTACATCGTCTATATGCAACATCCCCCCTACTGAACTTCCTGACCTACTAACTTTCCGACCTACGGCAATATCGGACCTACGCCAGCTGTTTATTTTTGTATTATTTGAGGGTTAGGTTAGGTTAAGACAATTTCTGGGCCGAGAGCTGCGGCTAGGACAGACTAGGGGGCAGAGCGCCGTGGCTAGGACAGACAATGGGGCCTGGCGCTTCTGCCACAAGTCCATCTAGCAGCTGTAAAACCATGTGCTAGTAGGTCGGATGTGTAGTATAGCGGATACACCATTGTAATCAGTCAAAGCATCGATATACAAAACAAATAAAAAATATTATGAAATATTAACTATATTCGAATGCATCAAAAAATAATTTATGAATAAAGGTTGTAATATCTGAATGATCTGTTTGAAAATATATTAATTTTTTACGATTCGAGTGGACTATTGCAACTTTCATTTTTTCGAACACTACCTTTAAGGAATCGTTGTGAATCGAACTATGTCACTTGAAATTACGACTAAAGTCCCTTTAAGATGATAATCTGCTCTACTGAGTGCATGGATGGGAACTAAAACGTTAAACCTGTATTTTCTGCCCAAATTTTGGATGAAATATTTTGCGCTTGATAATTTTAATTTTGAGGTTAATTATAGTTTTCTCGGTTTAGTTTGTAATTAGGGGGTTGTTTAGATGTTTTATTATCATAAAAAGAAATGTTTTTTTTTTAAAATTCGGTTTGTTCAAAAACTATCAAGTATCCGATTTTTATAGAATCAGCTTGAAGAAAACCTTTGCACTGTTTTGCACTTTTTTAAAATTTATTTACTTTACATAAAAATATATTTAACTGGGTTTACGACACCCGGTTTGAAAGGAGTGTACAATGTCTAAAGTTTCTAACTCTTGACGTTATAATCTAGAAAATTATGTGTTCTCACACTTCATATTATTATCCTTTATATTCTGATCCAAACCTGTCCAAAACATCAAATCAGAGTTTTACACTAATACAGGATTATCCACAAACTTTAAGATTTTTAAGGAACCGTAGACGTTATTCAAGTGATCTTTAATGCTGATTGGCATGTTAGATTCACAACTGTGTTTCAGTTAGACGGAAGTAAATTGCATTTAGGCTCAAAATCCTAAATGTCTTCAAGCGTAACTTCTCAAATTCAAACGCAATATCACGCACCTCTGACCCTTCAGATAAAGTAAATGTTACCTGAAGTCTGACCGCGTCAACCTTGTTGCACCGGCTAGTCCTATTGAGTGTCTGCTTTATTTACCCAATGTCCGGACGATACAGTACAAACTGGGACTGGAAAGATTGGCCCGGCTCGGAAATTCAAATGCACTACGGCTGCCCGTAATATAAGGAGAACAAACATGTTTTGAATTTCTAGTTTTCTCATTCTTGTTCTTAAACCCACAGTTAAAGGAGATACGAGCTCACAAAGTCTTATCAGTTATATTCCATAGAATTGACCTTCTCCCTCTATCTAAAGTGAGCCTTGAAACCGTTGTCTGATTTATGAAACAGAAGATGAAATTGTCAGAATTAAACTCAGCTGCATAAATTCTCATTTAGAAAAACGACAATAGTCTCCTAACTGCTGTTCAAATAAAGATTAAAAGGGGTACCATTCTGCGAATCTGACATGCCATGCACTATAAAATGGATTTTCTTTTTATTTCTATTTTTTATTATTTTTAGTTTTATTGTCCTTCCTTTTTAATCTCTTTGGTTATTGTTAACCCTTTATAATATCTTTTATATATTTTTGTCACTGTTTCACCAATAATATTCAAGAATTCAATGAATAAACTTTGTGTTTAGCACCTTGCAATAGATAATAATTTGACTAGATATGTATATATATATTCGTTTTCATTTTGTATTTTGTATTTTGGTTAATACAGTGCTTTCAAGGAACTGTCAGGGTCAAATAGATTCTGATACAATAGATGGCAACCTAGATTTCGTACACTCTCTGACAGCTGTATTCTTACGTCACAAGTGTCAACTTAGTTTTTGTGTCAGACAAAATTATTATTAATAGTGATAATTTTGAAATAAAGTGTTTATCTTACCGTTAAAACAAGAGCAATTTAGCTTTTTTTTATTTTCTGTTTTTACACTTTTTATTTAATCTTGGAAAACATGTTAACTAGTGTGAGAAAATATAGTTTTCCTTGTTATATTTGACACTTGTGACGTCATGTATAATTGGTCCATTTCTCTGTTGCCACCTATTGTACTTGATATTTATTTGGTCAGGGTAATTTCAAGAAACATTAAAAAGTTTCACATCGGTACCCTGTTCACCAAAGTTTCCGCATGCAATGGGGATAGAGAACCCGAAGTGAATCGGACACGCACATTTTTGTAAAGGGTCACTTGAAATTTCGTTGACAGACCCTTTAAATTCACGAGGATAGTTCAATCCTTATCCCAGAGAGCTGTGACTTTTGATCACAATGTAGCCTACTTAACAAAAATGTTCGCCTTTTCTTTTTTCATTTATTTTGTCAACAAATACGTTTTAAATAAAAAAAAATTATCAACATGACCACACTGTTTAAGTATACTGGTTGTTGAACTATAGAACAATTTACGAATGAATTAAATAAAGAACCAATCGAATGCATTTCGCCCTGGTTAGTCCGTTGCATGCTCTGTGAAATTTTCTGTTTTTAGACGCATGTGATGTGATAATCAAACTGTATTTCCTAAAACTTAATTCTTTAAAATATCAAATCTGAAAAAAAACTTAATATTGATTTAATTTGTCCCTTTAATTGTTTTTCTTGTATTCCAGGATGGGTTTAGCTGTAGTACTCCTCCATGTTCTCTGGATCCTGCTGGATCTAAGCTCCAGGAGAACCCGGAGCAGGAGCAAACCTTCTTCCTGGAGAACATCACGATCCCTACCAGCGAGCACGATAACTTCATCCTTATCGACCGGATCAGAAGATCGGCTGGATCTAGTAAACCCAGACCAACATAATCATTTATTTCTTCCCTTGTATCATTCATCCCACCTAGAGCTTCAAACCCTTTGATTAACCCTAAGAGAATAGAATATATATTAGAGTGGAATTTACTAGAAAAAGGTGTAAAACGGCCATTTTGTTGTACTGTTTTCATATTACAGGTGTACTTCACATATTTGTGCTATAATATAACCTTTTGGGCCCTGTAACATAATTTTATAGCTAGAAAATCTAAAATTAATATTAAAAGAAAACCAAACTATGAAATAGGCTGGTTTCAGAATTGACCAATGATCATTTCACATAGATTCTATTTACAAACGATCATTTTTCGTTATAACTATAAATCAAATGATGTTTTTTTATTCGTTTAATTCATTTTATAAAGTTCATTTAACAGCTTTAAAAAATTCGAAATTGAAATGGATAGTCTAGGGAACATACTGTATTAATGTACTCTACTGCATATAATTGGGAACATTTACATGATTTGTACACTTTGAACTCCCTTTCAGGCTGAAAGGGACTGACAAAATTCATACCGAGGGATTTTCTAAATTCCACTCTATTATATATTCTATTCTCTTTGGATTTAACCCTAGTCTTTAATATATCTCAGAATTGGAATTTTGATATCTTCCACGGACCACAATGTACTTGTAATAGTTGTAATTTAGGATTTTAATAACCTCATTCCAGTATTAAACTGTTTCCTGTATTCCATGTACTTTAAATAGTGCATCCTGTATACGGTATCATGTATCCGGCATCTTGTATCCTGTATCCTACATCCTACATCCTGTATCGTGAGGATTTTTAAGTAAAATCAATAGCTTTGAATGTTAAAAACTCGCGAATCTAAATTTTATAATTGTATTCTAGACAATATTAATTATTGTACACACGCTCTCGTGTCATTGAAAAGTACTAAATGTGTACCAACTAACTACAATGTCTTGTACTCATTAAACTGTACTTAAAAACAAAATCATTCCTCGCATTTCTTTGTTTTAGTTTTTATTACTGCATTTATGTCTGATCTTTATGTAACCGACATATCCTTTATTTCAAACACTGTATTATTATGCACAAAAGATTCCATTCTTTACTCAAAAATGTCAAGAGTAAGAGATTTAATGTTTTAGAAGCGGAGAATATTTCCTCTAAAACTTTTCACTAAAAACGTTTATTTTGCTCCGCGTTTGAAAATGTTTGACAATGTTTGACAATGTTTGAAAATGTTTGACAATGTTTGATGCACATGTTAGAAAACTATTTTGTTCAAAATATCCGATAATAAAGATAGATTTATCTCACAAATTTGAACAAAATGATCGCAGTTTTGAAATGTCTTAGATAAATATCCAATATTAATTTTAAAATATGTTAAAATAAGGATAGTTCGTTCCTTTTGTTGAACTCAATTGTTAAACTATACCTAGTATTGTTATTCATATTAGTTTTTATTATAAATTGTTATATTATAGTCAAATATGGACAAATCTGTTAAATTATTCCAATAAAGTAAACAGAAATAAATCTTAAATTTATTTGAAACTAAAACTTTACGTGACCGTTGGTTTGCAGAGTGACATGTCTGATTCACAACGGTACCCTTTAAACGTTTGATTAATAAATTATGTCCGATTCACAACGGTACCCTTTAAACCTTTGATTCATAAATTATGTCTGATTCACAACGGTACTCTTTAAACCTTTGATTAATAAATTATGTCCGATTCACAACGGTACCCTTTAAACCTTTGATTAATAAATTATGTCTGATTCACAACGGTACCCTAAACCTTTGATTAATAAATTATGTCTGATTCACAACGATACCCTTTAAACCTTTGATTAATAAATTATGTCTGATTCACAACGGTACCCTAAAAACCTTTGATTAATAAATTATGTCCGATTCACAACGGTACCCTTTAAACCTTTGATTAATAAATTATGTCTGATTCACAACGGTACCCTCTAAACCTTTGATTAATAAATTATGTCTCATTCACAACGGTACCCTCTAAACCTTTGATTAATAAATTATGTCTCATTCACAACAATACCCTCTAAACCTTTGATTAATAAATTATGTCTGATTCACAACGGTACCCTTTAAACCTTTGATTAATAAATTATGTCTCATTCACAACGATACCCTTTAAACCTTTGATTAATAAATTATGTCTCATTCACAACGGTACCCTTTAAACCTTTGATTAATAAATTATGTCTCATTCACAACGATACCCTTTAAACCTTTGATTAATAAATTATGTCTGATTAATCCTGATCAAACCAAACGCTTAAAATTATCGATTACTTAGCATACATGCTGTTTATATATTTTAAAAAAAATATTTAGATAATTTCCAGAATATACAAAAAAATATTTTCATTTAAATAATTAAAAACTGCGTCCAACATACAGAGCATCCCATATCATATTAGATTATCTCCTAGCCTTAACGCTAAAAAACGCATGTAATACTCGAAAAACCTAGAATTTTCTTTATGGCAAATTTTCATATTATAGCCTTTTACAAGTTTTCAAAGTAGTTAATTATTTTTAAATTTTCTGATAAGTCCCGAAAATCGTAATTTAGAGCTGTATAAGATCCAATATGATGTGGGACACCCTGTATAAGATCCAATATGATGTGGGACACCCTGTAGAATATTCGGAATTTTCAAGAAATATGTAAAATCAGTTGCGTTGAGTTCAGAATTCACTCCAGTTTGCATAACTTTCAACAAAAATAAGAGATTCCTACTTTGTCGATTAATATACAAAGGTTGAAAGGGTGAATTGCTGTGAATCAGACATGCCACTCTTAACATGAAGGGTCAATTGAAATCCCATACCCTCCCTTTAAATGTTTGAATATGTCTTTAAAAGAAGTTTTATACTGTATTGAACAGTTATAGACTTTTCTCATTTATCTTTAAAATCATTTACAAATTTTCTAAAGAGTATTTTCTTATCTATGCTTGGAAAAGAGCTTGTTATTGCAAGATGTGTTAAATAATAAACAATCTTAAAAGACAATAAAAAAATTAAACGAAGTCACGTACTTTATTAAACTTAATATTTTCTGTGTTTTCTATGCCTGGTGTTTTCTATGCACCAAAAAAAGATTACTCAGTTGTCACTGCTTAGAGAACTCTGTCAGACAAGTCACTCAAGCCACTCAAGTCACTTAATTAAATGACCTAAAATTGTGCAACAATTTGTTAACCCTGAAACGGAGGGAGATTTTAGAAATTTTTGAAATTTATAGGTGCAGTGAAACTTGATTGGAATTGCACATAAAGGATCTGAGTTTTTGTCACAAACTCTAACCTTTTAATCACTAATTCTGTTCTTTCTATCAAATAGTCTAAGTTTGAAATATCAAAGATTAACACCACCAGGTTGCAAAGAAATAGAGTTTATAACATTATAGTTTGTGGCAAATTCTTTAAAATAAGAATATAGATCTTCTTTTACACCCCCCCCTTTAACCGTTTATAGGGTTAAATTACAACTGGGCAATTTTAAGCAGAACATTTTTAAAATCTTAAAAACTTTGAACGGTCTGTTTCCTGAAAGACAACTGGAATTTATCTTTTTAATATATCGTTGTTTCCGACTGTTCTAAGATTTTAAATAATAAGTTCCATTGTACAGATCTGTACTGTTAAAATAAATCCAATTCTTTTGTTTGAGCAAATTTTACGAGTAATTGTTCGTCCTATCGATAAGTCTGATAGAATTTACAGTGAAAATATGACAGATTTCTTCCATTGGATAGAATTTACAGTGCAAATATGACAGATTTCTTCCTTTGGATAGAATTTACAGTGCAAATATGACAGATTTCTTCCATTGGATAGAATTTACAGTAAAAATATGACAGATTTCTTCCAATTAGATAAATGTGCACACTGTATTTCCAACGCCCAAAGTATTTATGATTTCAAAAGGCAGTTTAGCCTTCTTTTGGGATACTTTATTACAAAGTTATTTCAGCTTATAGATATTTATTTATTGTACAATGTACAGTGTACATATAACCACCTTGATCTAATATCTATTTAAAATTGTAATCTGTAGTCTGCTTGTAAGTTTGTCCGATCAAAACTCAGGAACCCTTGTACCGATTTGTCTCAAATTTTGATTGACAACCGGAAGACCCACGTGGATGTTCTTAGCTTGCTCTTGAGATTCTAAAATCTTAATTTACGACTAATGTCGGGTAAACGGTGGGACTAATTAACGCTGGGTTCCCAAGCTAGTACTGGATAAAGTACAATGTACAATGTACACTGTACGGCCCACTTATCCGAACTTAATATCCGACCTACAAAAAGTTATTATCTGACCTACAAAATGTGTTCATCCTACCAATAAAAGTTGTGCATCCGACCTACAAAAATTGTTCATCCGACCTACAAAACTGTGGATCCGACCTACAAAATGTGTGCATTCGACCTACAAAATGTGTGCATCCGACCTACGAAATGTTTTCATCCGACCTACAAAAATTGTGCATCCGACCTACAAAATGTGTGCATCCGACCTACGAAATGTTTTCATCCGACCTACAAAAGTTGTGCATCCGACCTACAAAAGTTGTGCATCCGACCTACAAAAAGTGTGCATCCAAACTTCAAAAGTATGCGCATCCAACCTACAAATTTCTTTTTTAAAATCCCAACCACATTGAACTAGACAGAAAGGGAAAATCAAATCTATTAATGGTTTAACTTTGTGACCTCGTAGCTCTTCTAGAGGATTTATGATTAAAAACATATAGGATTTCAATATCACGGGCAGCTTACTTTAGTTCGGTGAGTACTATATATTTTATCATATTGTTCATTTCTGCAGGATTATCCATCTGTTGGCAGTATTTCATATTTGTTGGTAAACAACATTCATCAGTAGTCAAGATTCAGGCTTATTGTTTACTGGTAGGATAAGGGGTAGTTTTCTATCATCAAGGACGTACATCAAGAACATTGGGGGGTAGGGTGGGTAAATAATTCCTAATTATCGAGTTTATTTACATATTGTCTGGGAGGAATATAAACAAACAAAATCTAATTCTCGAGTTTGTTTACATATTGTCTGGGAGGAATATAAACAAACAATAATCTAATTCTCGAGTTTGTTTACATATTGTCTGGGAGGAATATAAACAAACAATAATCTAATTCTCGAGTTTGTTTACATATTGTCTGGGAGGAATATAAACAAACAATAATCTAATTCTCGAGTTTGTTTACAGTTAGTCCGAGAAAATTTTTGCAGCAAAGGCAATGAATGAAATAACTAGAATGTAACACTTTTTAAAGCTGAAAAACAACGACATATTCCCTTTTTCCTTTTTTGATTAGGACAATAGACATAAAATCTAGTATTTTTTAAATACAGGGTTACCCACAAAAGATAAGACTTCAGAGACGATTGTACGAAATCTATACTGTCTGTTTCCTTATATTTACGATTCCCTGCAACTGTAAACTTGTTTATTTCTGTCAAGTCATTAAAAAACTATATTTATGACCTTGAAATCGTCTCATTTTAAGAGTTTCTGGTCGTCTTTACAGTCTAATCCTTTGTGAGTAACCCTGTATATAAATATATAAAGAACAAGATTGCAAAGATAAGAGAAGGTTTAAAACTGTGAGTACTCCACAATCAAAATGCTGCATTGGACCAAACCAAACCAACATTATGAATTTAAAGGGATTGTACACAAAAATCTGCACAAATTATTCCAAAAAAAAACTTTATGTTTTGTTTGTATTTGTTTTCAATGGAGTTTATTTCTTTTTCATATCACCATTGGTACAACTATAGGTCGTATCTATCTATCTACACTGCTCTGGAAGTGTGATAATGGTTCTACTTATACTATAAGAACGTTTAAGAAATTGGCCAGAAGAGAAATAGTCAACAAAAAAAATCTTACATTAAATACATGAATTAAATACAAAATACTTATTAAGTTCACTTCCTCGTTTAGATCTATATTCATTATTCATTTAAGAAAAGAAATATTCAACAACAAAATCTTATATTAAATACATGTTTAAGAAATTTTTTATTTTTTTATCAAAGCATGCTGTGTGTGCAACATAAGAAAAGATATTAATTTTGCACAAGTCAAACTTGGTTTTGCAGAAGATGTGTTTAGCATTTTTGCAAAGGATAAACTTCCCATAGTTTCAGGCAACATTGTGTATATATAT